TCAAGTACATTGGGTTTGTCTAACAAACATGTGGTGTAAGGAAGCTAATAGGGTGGCAGAACTGGACAGCAAAGCACAAGTAAAATGATAAGTGTTTGTTGTATTGAGTTCATTGTGTGTCACTTAATTTTTAATTTTTGTTAACACAAATGTAATTACATCTTAATATAATGAAGTATGGTAAGGGAAAAGGTTTTTTTTTTATTTTTTTTTATTTTTAAGCATTATGGGAAGGGAAAAAGTATAACAAATGCACTTTTGTAATAATTTCTTTCGAAAATACAAATGGACAAAAGTTGTAATAAATGAATTAGAGTCCGAATGATAGAAAATTTAATACTAAAATTTGGGATTAATAAAGTAACTTTAATTATGTTATTAAATGATTTGATATATATAATATTATGAGTTTTAATAAATTAAAAAAAATTAATTATTAAATAATATAGAATTTATTTTTTAATATTTTAAATAACATAATTCATAAATCATGTCAATAATCTCATATTTTAATTGCATAAAATTTCATTCCATTTATCATTAATCAATGACTTTCGTTATTTATTTATATAGAAAATATAAATGTTCGTCCTTCTAATTATTGGAATTTACACCAAGGATTCAAACCTTTGCAGTTGGAGAACCAATTTGATTGGTTAATGAGAATTTGACCTTAATTCAATCAATTGGATAATTAAAATAATATAAATAGTGATGGTATTAAAATAAATATTAATTTTATATTTTTATAGAAATTAATAATAAAAACATAATAATTATATTTTTAACATTAACCTTTATAAATAAAAATAAAAAGAACTCTTATTTTATTCGAATTGCCAAGCAAATGACGGACTGGAAGTTGGAGTTGAAGTGGAAGAGAAAAACTAGGTCCACTACATATGTAAGTTGGGCTTAGACATTAATGGATTAATAAAAGCCGGGTTTTGAAATTTAGACATTAATGGACCACAGTTTTTTTTTTTTTTTTTAACAGGTATTTGAAAGTTAATCCAAAATTTTGTTAATGCTTAACATTAATCCAATTTTTCACTTAATGTACTTAGGTTCATAATGAATATCAAGTCTAATTCATTCGATAGATTTATTAGTAAATAAAGTATTATTTTATAAGTTAATTTAGAATTTAACTCTTAAGGATAACTCATGATAAAATTAAGTCAGTCTAATATAAAGTATATTTTAAAAATTTTGGAACTACACTATTTTACTAAACTTCTACTAAAAGAAAGACTAAAATTACATTTTTTAAAAGCATGAATGAGTTGTTTTTGTCATTTCTTATAATATTTTAATGAAATAATATAATTTTAAAAGTAAGAATTGGTATAATGTAGGTCATTTTTTAAAAATTTATTTTAAAGAATTTATCTAAAATTTCATATTTGAATTAATGTTTTAACAAATTCACATTTTAATTAATATTATTATAAATTATATATATCAATTTTTATATTGATTTAACACTTTTAATCATTTGATAAAAAAACTTTACTTATTGATATATATTTAATAGTATTAAATTTTATATAATTAACAAAGTGATTAGACTTAATAAAATAATTTGAAATTTGATATGTATGATTTATATGAATACAACTTTTAATCCAATTATTAGTTTTTTTGAAACATTAATCAAAGAATGAGTTTTTAGACAAATTCTTCTAAATTTTTTAAAGAAAACCACCTGTAAAATTTTTTTTCTCATTTAAAAATATTTTTCATTCTTATTTTAAAGAAATGCAACTATTAAACACTAATCCCATTAAACTACCAGAGTTTTTGACAAAACTTACAAAATACTTATTTTAAAAGTATTATTTATCTTTCCCAAGTTTAAAATTGAATAGAAACAACAAAATTAACTTTTTAAATAATTAAGTTTTGAAAAAACTATCTAAAATTTTTTTAAAACTTATTTAAAATATATTTTAAAATATAAGTTTTAAATTTTTTTCTAATAAAATTTTAAATTTATAAAAAAGGAATAGAGATCCATTTATACATAAATTTTACATATTATATTTATATAAAATTTTAATGATTTATTTTTTTAGTTTTAATAATTGATATTTATTTATATTTGTTAAAGATAATTATTTTTTTATCTAAAATATTATAATAAATTTCAACTATTAAAAGTAAAAAATAAAATATTAAAATTTTATATAATATAATACATAAAATATATGTATAAATAAATTTTTACTCATGAAAAATAAAAGATGGTGTTATAGAAATAAATTTTTTTATATCACTTAAAAAAAAATTTTACATATCATTAAATGAGTGGATGCATTTAATATCATGGATCTCATTTGAATTAAAAAAATTAATTATTTAAATGATATGTCAAATTATACAAAAAAAAAATAACATAAAATAATTACCTCAAAATTATTTCCCAAAAATAAATAATAATTTTAAAGCAAATTATTTGTTGAGCATTGACAAACACCCTCCTAATGAAAATTGTTGGAAGACACCTCAACGGTAAAAGAAAAAAGAAGCAGCTTGACATCTTACGTCCTAACCCAACCAATAAAAGATTGAAGCCCACTCCAATTAATAGCTTTTAATTCAGCCTGCTAATGGCCAAGCAAAAGTAACAAACAACAACTTTTTGACTTCGCAGGCCTTAAGGGGAATAAAAATGCTGGAAGATATTAATTGCATGGTCCCAAAATATCAAATTTCAGTGCTTTGGAGAAGCATGTGGATTGCATGGTCGCCAAAATTATGAGGTTTGCTTCCTACATTGGTCATTCAATTTGCAGTAACTAAAGGCTTGTAATTTTTTTTTATAGGAAAAGTAGGATATTTTAAATTTAAATGGTATAATACGTATATAAAATAAATTAAAAAATTATTTTTTTATTATACAATTCAATATTAAAAAAACTTGTAATTTTTCTTTAGCCAACGAATAGCCGAGTTGAATTTAACTCTCTCCATTTCATTCTCTTTTCTTTTCTTTTTATTTTAGATTACAAAAACAGCCCATTGCAATTCAACAAGTACCAAATTAAAAAATTTAGATTTTTAAATAAGTGAGACTTAATATAAGTTTTATTCAATTAAGATATTTAATGTTGTAATCTAAGTATGAGCTAACTGCAAAACGTCTTTCCCTTTAAATTATAGAAATAACCTATGAGAGTGAAGCAGTTCTCATATTTTGGGTTATAAAAAAAAAAAATGTCTTTCCTTACATTTCTAAACTCAAGTATACATGAAAAGCTTCCAGTTTTTATCCAACATATTAAAATTGGAAGGTTTTCTCTTTTGATAAAATTAATTATTACTCCCTCTACCTAAAAGAGATTTAGACTAAGGTTGTGTATGAGATTATTATAAAATGTTATACCGGTGAGCTTTTTAGTATTTTACTATGATAAAGATTATATTTCTATTTCGTAATTGTTTTAAAAAATAATTTTACACATTAATATGATTATAAAATTAAATAAAATATTAATTAAAATTAATTTAATTATAATAAATTAATACCTTTATAGGATATTATACAAAAAATATTGTATAAAAAAAGTACCGTAAAAATGCAATACTCAAATGCAACCTTAGTTTTTTCAATTGCTAAAGGGTCACTGCTACGAGGATAATTTATTATATAATTTTTTGATATAATTTTTACATATTATTAAATAAATAAATACATATAATATCATGAGTTTAATATGAATTAAAAAAATCAATTACTTAGATAATATTTTAAATTGTACCAAAAAGTGAAATAAAAAAATTATCCCAAAATCATTTCTATTATGCATTAAACTTTTTTTTTTTTGGTATTAACCTCCCAGTATGTATCCGGTAACCACATTGAGTCATGACTAATCCAGAATTAACTTGTGTCGGACCTCATTATGAGAAGCTCTCCTAACACTTGTTTCTTCATTCATATGACTCAAACTTAAGACCTTATTTAAAGAGAACCGAATTCTTTCCACTCGAATTAACACATCGTTGGTTTTTTTTTTTTTTTTTCATGAATAATGATTCTTTGAAACTAATTTATAGATTGAAATCTTTTGATTTATATGGGTTCACATGAGACTCATATAATGAGAAATGGTTATCATAAATTCATGATAAATTTTG